CACTCATTCTGCGAGTGTCGAGACACCAACCAATGTTACCAGGGCCTTGAACAAGCCGTGCGAAGTATTGATGGCCAACTTGAATCGTTTGACAAAATGGACGCGTAGTATCTGGAATGAAGATATCTCCGTGGATGAGAAATAAATCACGTGTCGAAATGGTTGGAAGTCACCGAAATATTCCTTGGAAAAACGAATGACAGGTCTCCATGCACCAGTGCCAGACTGTCATCACCATGGCAACACGTACTGGCGAGTATCCAAAGACAAAAGTATAAGTCAACCACACGGCAGATCCTCCCAGAATGTGCACCATCTACGTGTAGTTCGAATAAAAACTCGTGTCGTCATATGTATGACTTCTTGTACCCGGGGTACAACGTTGGGGCGGTATGCAGTGTTAATGTACTATACAGATGTGTGTGAGTCCCGAGCATATACTCGAAGGGAGCTGTGACCCTAAGGCCACTATTGTATGTTTGGCTCAGTAAGATACATATGTGTTACATACATACTGAGTACCAACACAGGGACGTTGCTTGTAAGAAGGCCCCCAGAGTCCACGTAGCTGATGGCCCTATGGCCCGTGGCCAGCAGAAACAGCAGAGTCTACAATCGCTGCTTGGAGTAAGTGGACGGGTGACAGTTGTTACATATTAACCATAACAGCTGGGTTCTTGTCCAACCAATTTGATGAAGACAGACTAATATTTCGGTCACAGGGTTGTTGTCCAGTCAATTTGTAGAAGACCACCCACACTCCACACCATACCACCCACACTCCCCACCATACCACCCACACTCCACACCATACCACCCACACTCCACACCATACCCTCCACACTCCACACCATACCACCCACACCACCCACCATACCACCCACACTCCACACCACACCACCCACACCACCCACACTCCACACCATACCCTCCACACCACCCACACTCCACACCATACCCTCCACACCACCCACACTCCACACCATACAACCCACACTCCACGCCATACCACCCACACTCCACACCACACCACCCACACTCCACACCATACCACCCACTCCCCACACCATACCACCCACACTCCACACCATACCACCCACACTCCACACCATACCAACCACACTCCACACCATACCACCCACAGTCCACACCACACCACCCACACTCCACACCATACCACCCACACTCCACACCATACCACCCACACTCCACACAATACCACCCACACTCCACACCATACCACCCACACTCCACTCCACACCATACCACCCACGCTCCACACCATACCACCCACACTCCACACCATACCAACCACACTCCACGGGTGGACGGGTGACAGTTGTTACATATTAACCATAACAGCTGGGTTCTTGTCCAACCAATTTGATGAAGACAGACTAATATTTCGGTCACAGGGTTGTTGTCCAGTCAATTTGTAGAAGACCACCCACACTCCACACCATACCACCCACACTCCCCACCATACCACCCACACTCCCCACCATACCACCCACACTCCCCACCATACCACCCACACTCCACACCATACCACCCACACTCCACACCATACCCTCCACACTCCACACCATACCACCCACACCACCCACCATACCACCCACACTCCACACCACACCACCCACACTCCACACCATACCCTCCACACCACCCACACTCCACACCATACCCTCCACACCACCCACACTCCACACCATACAACCCACACTCCACGCCATACCACCCACACTCCACACCACACCACCCACACTCCACACCATACCACCCACTCCCCACACCATACCACCCACACTCCACACCATACCACCCACACTCCACACCATACCACCCACACTCCACACCATACCACCCACAGTCCACACCACACCACCCACGCTCCACACCATACCACCCACACTCCACACCATACTACCCACACTCCACACAATACCACCCACACTCCACACCATACCACCCACACTCCACTCCACACCATACCACCCACGCTCCACACCATACCACCCACACTCCACACCATACCAACCACACTCCACACCACACCACACCACCCACGCTCCACACCACACCACCCACGCTCCCCACCATACCACCCAGGCTCCACACCATACCACCCACACTCCACACCATACCAACCACACTCCACACCACACCCCCCACGCTCCACACCATACCACCCACACTCCACACCATACAACCCACACTCCCCACCATACCACCCACACCCACACTCCACACCATACAACCCACACTCCCCACCATACCACCCACACTCCCCACCACACCACCCACACTCCACACCATACCACCCACACTCCACACCATACAACCCACACTCCCCACCATACCACCCACACCCACACTCCACACCATACAACCCACACTCCCCACCATACCACCCACACTCCACACCATACCACCCACACTCCACACCATACCATCCCCACTCCCCACCATACCACCCACACTCCACACCATACCACCCACACTCCACACCATACCACCCACACTCCACACCACACCACCCACACCACCCACCACACCACCCACACTCCACACCATACCACCCACACTCCACACAGCACCACCCACACTCCACACCATACCCTCCACACCACCCACACTCCACACCATACCACCCACACTCCACACCATACCAACCACACTCCACACCACACCACCCACACTCCACACCATACCACCCACTCCCCACACCATACCACCCACACTCCACACCATACCACCCACACTCCACATCATACCACCCACACTCCACACCATACCAACCACACTCCACACCATACCACCCACACTCCACACCATACCACCCACACTCCACACCATACCACCCACACTCCACACCACACCACCCACACTCCACTCCACACCATACCACCCACGCTCCACACCATACCACCCACACTCCACACCATACCAACCACACTCCACACCACACCACCCACACTCCACACCACACCACCCACACTCCCCACCACACCACCCACACTCCCCACCATACATTCAGCTCTACCCAGAAAACTAGTTGACTGTAATGGGTGGTTAAACAGTCGTTGTAAGGCCGTCATGAGAATGCAGTTGTCTGGTCAAATTGTCCGCACATGATCCAGCTTATTCTTTCATAATCTGCACAGTCAATTCCTCGGGTATTGCTAAATTGCGTGCTGCGAAGTATATTTTCCCCTAAATTTATCTTTCATATCAAGTAGGTATGCCCAGAATGCCGGTATGTTTCAGCATCTCATATCCAGATTTAAACAGCTGCCAACATTTTATAACTAATATAAACAACAGAAATTCTTTCAAACTGAGGCTCAGTATACAGTATTCCGTATCACCCTGCCCTCAGAGTCAAGCTTTGGTGTGAGTCAAACCCGGAAACAGCCCTACCACTAGGACGTGAATAATGACTCAACAACCGCCCATACTATATACTCATCATCTAGCTTGTCAACTTCAGTAACTTATATATCGACCCGTGAAGATCCGGGTTAGAATAGGTCGTCAGCAACCCATGCTTGCCGTGAAAGTCGACTATGCTTGTCGTAAGAGGTGGCAAACGAGATTGAGTGATCAGAATCGCTGACGTGGTTGATATACTAGTATGTCATCGTAGCCCAGTTGCGTGGATCGATGCTCGTGATGTCAGTCACTGGATTGTCTGGTCCAGATTCGATTTTTTACAGACCGCCGTCATATAGCTGGAATATTGCTGAGTGCGGCGTTAAACAACAAACACACAAACAGTAACTAATCTCGATAATATCACACGTAAACCAACCCTGGCGTCCATACAGATTCTACAATATGGGTGTCTGTATTTAGGCTATAATAATGATGATGATGATGATGATGATGATGATGATGATAATAAGCATCGTGCCTCAGGGATATGAAATACATGATCTAACCGTTCAGGGCAAATACTGATGTGTCTGAACAACCCCTCCCCTCCATGTAATCTGTAACCCCCCTCACAGCAACCCTTGTCACTAGGCACTCAGAATCTATGCGGAACAGCCCTCGTATTTCACCTTTACCACCCCAGTGTAAATTACATAAGCCCTACAGGTCAGCAATCACATTTTCTACAACCCCCCTCTGCCACCGGTAGCGCAAGGGGGAGCTGAGGTGCAATCGCACGTAGATACAAGGACTGTAATAGATGGTTTCCCTATCAATAACTTTAACTCGCCAGCCACTTGTTTACTTTCACTCTATTTTCGTCATCGCAGACATCAGAGCCAGGGAATTTGTTTTGGAGGGAACTAAAATGAGGGGGCGTAAAAACATTCCTTGACTCGTCCCACTTCAAGGCTTTGAGAATATTAATGAAATCTTTGCAGAACAATGTTGTGGTCTTATACTGGCACAGGGTACGTATATGCTACGGCGCCAAGTATAAATGTCCCTCTTATCGTTATCAGGCATGGGTTACGTGTGTTCAGATTATATTTCTCTGCTATGGGACCCCCTCGCTACTTCCCACTCTAACTCCAGGGGCAAGAATTTAGGGAAGGCGAGCGACAGACGCTGTCTGTGGGTGTCCGGTTACTTCTCGTTGTGTACTCGAAGCTGTCAAAGTTTAATAACTTAATTTAACCTGATAAGAGGGAAATTTGTTGTGAACTATGTATAAAGTCAACTCACTTTTACCTATGAGAGGCTGACCTTGAAAATATTAAGAACGACCTAGACACGATCGTATTTCATACATGTAACTGAAATACGATATGATGAGTGTCTTCAGGTATCGCTTCATCAAAGGCGATGAGCAAAAAACTAAAACACAGATTTTACATCTGTGTTTTGATCGCACACCGTGAAACAAATCTTGTTTAGGAATCTTGACTTTGTTCACCCTAGCGTTTACAGAAACTTTGAAACATGTTTAGAGAAGCATGCGTAAGGAGAAGCGTCAAGGGTTAGTACGAGAGAGATGTTGAGAGAGTGTCTTGGTAGGGACTCACCCTTTGTATAGCCAATTGTTGTCCAAATTCCCGACCCCCTTGTAGTCGGAACCCCCATGGGATCTCGGGTCCCGATCGTTGTAGCCATATTGTCTCCATGACGGAACCTCTCCCCTCACCAAGCCGGCTGTTTGCCCGCTGAAAGTAAGATGGTAGCCACTGTTAAACTGACGAAACGATGAGGTGCAGGCAGAAGATGCTCCTCTGGCTAAATATAGAAATGCCGGTTTCCATGGAAACCCTTCCCGTGTACTTACCTCTGATGCGTTTAAGCTTAATTTCCTTATTTCACTAGTTCACCATTAAGCCTCCATCACCCCTCAATGCATTGAACGTCGATGATGTCACTTCCTTTGAGCCAATGTCGTATGAAAATACTTTAAAATGCCCCTTGTTGTGAACAGCCCTTAATTTCTTCTGTAAACGTGTAAACTACATCCGTTTAAAAACCTTTTTGATAACAGAACTTTGGGGTATCGTTTAAAGACAGTTTGTCTGACGTAACTCCGACTCTCAGTCACAACACTGTTCCGCGATCACTACTCAGTCTTACACAAGAGCAAACTTTCATTTCAAACACGGACGTTTAGTCACGCAGATCAAATTGGCAACAAAACGAGGTGGAATACAAATTGTAATAGTTAATTGCACTCTCTTTCAGTTATCAGCGCCAAAGTTAGAAGACAATCGACTTCGTGACTAGGGTCCTCGCTATAAGACCAGAACACATACAATAGCGACTATAGTTCTTGGCTATAAGAACACAATCGCTATGACGCGATCACTTGGCACCTGGCGTAGAATGTTTAGGATCTACCACAGTGTTGACAGTTTGTTATGTATTAGGAGGTGGTTGGACTCAAGTGCTTGCTTACATTTGCTGCGGTATTTCGCACCTTCAGTTTCGTAACACGTGGACAATTACGTTCAGGGGCGCGATGTTCAGTCGACTGTGGAATTGATCTAGAGTATGATTGCTCCTTGTAATAAGAACAGGCTTCGTGTTTCAAGTAGGACCTTCTTACCATACAAGGCCGTTGTGTGTTTATTCACGGACATGTTCAGGGAGTGGTCATCTCATATAGGGAGGAGTTGGGTGTGGTTCTAGACTAATATGCAGTTTATGAAATCTGTTAATACACAATACATTTCTCTCCTCCAAAATTGAAACAGATAATTTTCCTGATGATAATTTCATATATGTAGAATAGAGTTGCCTAGACTTGATTTTATCTATATCTAGATTGTTTTTGTTTTTATGAAAAAATATATTTCACAGTCAAGGTGAGGACTAGGTGTGGTCAGTGGAAGCTATATTTTATCCCAAGAAGCCTTTTTTTCAAATATATACAGGTGTTTTTTAATGAGCTTCCCTAAGAGGCCAAATTAGTTTACTATTAACACCACTTAAATAATGTCTCATCTAATATTTGTCCATAGTGATTATTCTCTCTCTGTCTCTCTCTCTGTGTGTCTGTGTGTCTGTCTGTCTGTCTGTCTCTCTCTCTCTCTCTCTCTCTCTCTCTCTCTCTCTCTCCACATAAACTTTTAAACTTTGGCCAGCAGTAATTGCATATTGTCTTACGCCACAGTCAAAGGAATTGCAGAATCTGAGCGAGGTAGACCAATGGTTGACCTCATGAGCATGAACCAGGTCACAAATGTCATGTTAACACCCGATTCTCATTATTCGCTCATTTGGTTGATGCATGTCATCGATCCCAATTGCGTGGATCGATGCTCATGATGTCAATCACTGGACTGTCTGGTCCAGACTCGATTATTTACAGACCGCCTTCATATAGCTGGAATATTGCTGTGTGCGGCGTTAAACAACAAACAAACAAACAAACAAACAAATAATCGTCCATTACAACAAGCGTGAGATACTGGGGGTTTATTCTGCCCCAGATTCCCCACGTGGTGTTTCGACATGGGTTACATGGAATGCGGTAATCAGAAAGTTACATTTTTTTCCGAAAAATAGAAAAAAGGTTGCACACGCAGTGCATACACGTCATTACACACACGTCATTACACAATATAGACATCACTACCTACTTTACCAGGGTTGTGAGGTCATCTCTCAAACACAGCAAGCAATAATGTATACAACAGCACTGTGTGCCGTGGCACCTTGGCAAGTCCTGAGGACAATCAAACATGTATCGAGTAATCCGTAGTTCGAGACAAACGGAATGTCGATACATTAGACCATGGTGCCTGATATGGGTTCTTACGGGACCATAAAGTCACATCGTCTTAATGATAACTCGAGTTATATTGGAATTCGAGTAAACGATGTTTTATTATATATTTGAGTGAGTGAGTGGGTATGGTTTTACGCCGCGTTTAGAAATATTCTATCAATATGTCGGCCGGGGACAACAGAAATGGGCTTCATACATGTGGTGAAGCGAACCTGGGACATCGTAGTCCAAAGTCACCTGGTCACCTATTACCAAAATATACATAATATAATTTCACTTTATTAGCATTGCCTAAAAAAAAATATGTTTACTCGCTTTCACTTTTAACCTCAGTAAATATACATTCACAACCTCAATGGCACGACAAGGCTCAAGCCTATGACAAGGTTCAACAATCACGACCTTCATATTTATCTCAACCACAGCAATTGATTGACATTGATCACATATTTCACATAGCGACATGCAGGTTGTGTATATTATCAGTACAGCTGGCAGGTGCAGACACACATTTCACTGTACAAACAAATTCCTACAACATGTATCATTGGTACGCGACTAAGCGATGGGAAACAATTTCAACATGTGTACTCTACCTTTGTTCTGTCGCCGCCCTGCACGGCTGGCGTCTACGAGTGTATTGTTGTTAAAGACGGCGGACGATAAATTACATGTTATTAAACCGAGACGATATCAGGTTGCATAATAATTTGATTTGGCTGACGTCAGTGAAAATATGACTGAAACAGGTTATACGTTTGTAAATATTTTGGACACGTTTGTGTAAAATTAAATCTATGTTTCATGTACAAAGATAAATCCTACTGGGACTGTGATATTAGGGGTAGTTTGTTTCACAGTCCCTGAACGATATCATTTTCCCTTCCGCCCAGACTTTTCTGTAATGCAAAAGCCCTAACTGAAGCAAGTCTAGATTTCACTCTACATCTTCCTTCTCACTGGGGCTCCTTTTCAATTTAAATGGAGTTTTTTGTTTCTATCAAAATTATATATTTTCAGAGACTAAGCGTCGTCTATATGAGGGACTGTAGTCTGCATTTTGTTGTATTTGATTGAGCAGAAGCTACAATCGGTATTGTGTGATGCTCAACGTTATATGGAGTTAAAACATTCTATATTGCACGTGTTAAACAGCTGACTACTTTATATAAGTACAACAGACCATTGGTTTTGAATACTTGATAATATATGCTGGTATTTTAATGTATATAGCTGGTCTAGACCTGCCAGTCAATTGTATGGGTCTGTGATCAGGAGATATTTGACTTTAACGGCTGTGCCACTAGTTTGATGAAAAATCAATACTCGCTGTGAAGTAGAATGTAGGGCGCATATGTATAAACAATACCTGGGATATGTCACGGAGACTGAACGTTAGTGCGGCGCACATATCATCAACGCGTTCAGGTACAGATGATGTAGGTATAGGGACACGTCCTACTCTGTATCAAGGACAAATACGTATATAGTAAAACCCCGTTAATTTAATTCCCTCTGGTATAGTCCGGATTAACAAATTTCCGGATTAACGAATTATTGGTACGAAGTAATTTCACTTTGTGTACAAATACTCGTCCGGAAAGTAGTGTTTCCGAAATACCGAAATAAGAAGGCTTCACAATAATCTTATACATACTGATGTGGCATTGCCTTGGAAACAGTAAGAAAACATGGAGTAAATGTAATTCTATTACTGCCCTATATTAATGTACTAATATAACAACAACTGATAATAATAGTTATCATAATGCATTTATCTAACACCTAAATTCTTTCAAAACATGTTCTTTGTACCTCCCATGAAACGCATCTGTCAAATAGCTTTGAAACTATGTTGTCCATTCCTTTGAAAGTATTGAAGGTACCATATGGAAATACATGCCCAGCACGATTAAACACGTTCAGGTAATACATGCAGTAATTCTACTACTTTGACATAAATGATTTCGTTTAAATATTTTCTAAATGGGTACCACATGATCAAACGTTAAATTCAAACCAAAAGTAAACAAACGATCGAACACATTTGCAAATAAACATAGTCCCACCTGCTCTTGACTGCCAGCAGAACGCGCGACTGTTTTAGGTATTGTCCTAGTGAGCGTGCTGACTGACTCGGCATACTAACTGCATCAGCACGGAGCCTTACTGTACCCCGACGACGCTCTGTCATCTAAACGTCGGCTTCAGTTGTTTAATTGACCATATTGACTTTGTAATACATTCGTATCAGTCTGTCAGATATACGACAAGCTAACTGACTTGAAATATAAAGGCTTATATCAGGACTCAGACGATATTAGATGTGTTATTATTATGAGCATTTATCTATAACCATGGTATTGCGTTATGACATAAATTAATCATTTGAAATAACTGTCAAAATTAGAAATTAGACACGTTAAAAGTGAACTTACCGCTTGTATATGATTCTCGGCTACTCCCATCAGTAGTGTTATAAACGGACATCAACAGCTGATGCTGGGAAGCGTATCACAGGTTGACGGAGGAAACACACCTCGGGAATAAGGGGGGTCATGTGACCTTACGCATGGAAGTTCCGCTCCGGTGCTGACCAGGAAATAGCTCTTTAATCGGTTATTGTGATGTTGATGTGGAAGAATGCCGCCCTCAGACAGAGATTTTCCGGCGACTGTTCGACTCCGATCAAAGTTGCACGGCTTATGTGAGAGGCGACAGAGAGTATAGATCCCTCTCAGCGGCGTGTGACACGGGGTGAGACAGAGTGAGATATTCACCCCGGGGGTTCTCAGGGTACAACGGTAATCGCGGTAGCGGGGGTGTCAACTTCGCAATCACGTGGCGTACTGGTCGAATTCCAGAATACTTTAAGTAAAGCTTGGAAATTCGACCATTGTATAATGGAGGTGACTGGAGTGTCAGAATTCCTTTAAGGATAATGCTTTAATACCTCGGTCTTAACTTGGCACAGATGCTTGCCAAGAAGCAAATAGTTATTTTAGATATAATCTTTGAGATTTATCTGTTTTTGTGAAAGGACTATCGTACTCTACTTATGGTTGAGAACTGATTTAATTTATGAATGGATCCTTGTAATGCTGAAAGAAATTCGTGGATAGTTAGACCCGATTCTCTGTTCTTAGTTAGCGGTGGTTGTAACCTACCATGGTATGTATTAAAGTATTATGAAAATGTGTAAAGAAATCAAACCTAGGCCCTCTAACAAGTGGATACCTAATCGTCTCGATCAAAATGAGGCTACTTTGTTGATGTTAATCATGATGCGGGATTATGTTGGTTTGGTTGGTTGTCTTACGCCGCACTCAGCAATATTCCAGCTATATGACGGCGGTCTGTAAATAATCAAGTCTGGTCCAGACAATCCAGTGATTGATATCATGAGCATCGATCTACGCAACTGGGATACGATGACATGCATCAACCAAGTCAGCGACCTTGACCACCCGATCCCGTTAGTCGCCTTTTACGACAAGCATAGTCGCCTTTTACGACAAGCATGGGTTGCTGAAGACCTGGTGTATGTGGGTGGTACTGAGGGTGGGGGTATGTGGGTGGTGTTGAGGGTGGGGGGTATGTGGGTGGTGTTTAGGTTGGTGTATGTTGTTGGTGTTGAGGTTGGGGGTATGTGGGTGGTGTTGAGGGGGGGTATGTGGGTGGTGTTGCGGGTGGGGGGTATGTGGGTGGTACTGAGGGTGGGGGTATGTGGGTGGTGCCGAGGGTGGGGTATGTGGGTGGTGTTGGGGGGGGGGGGGGGGGGTATGTGGGTGGTGTTGAGGTTGGTGTATGTTGATGGTGTTGAGGTTGGGGGTATGTGGGTGGTGTTGAGGGTGGGGGGTATGTGGGTGGTACTGAGGGTGGGGGTATGTGGGTGGTGCCGAGGGGGGGGGGTATGTGGGTGGTGTTGAGGGGGGGGGGGGTATGTGGGTGGTGTTGAGGGTGGGGGTATGTGTGTGGTGTTGAGGTTGGTGTATGTGGGTGGTACTGAGGGTGGGGTATGTGAGTGGTGCCGAGGGTGGGGTATGTGAGTGGTGCCGAGGGTTTGGTATGTGAGTGGTGCCGAGGGTGGGGTATGTGGGTGGTACTGAGGGTGGGGGTATGTGGATGGTGTTGAGGGTGGGGTATGTGGGTGGTACTGAGGGTGGGGTATGTGAGTGGTGCCGAGGGTGGGGTATGTGAGTGGTGCCGAGGGTGGGGTATGTGAGTGGTGCCGAGGGTGGGGTATGTGAGTGGTGCCGAGGGTGGGGAATGTGGGTTGTACTGAGGGTGGGGGTATGTGGATGGTGTTGAGGGTGGGGTATGTGGGTGGTGCCGAGGGTGGGGTATGTGGATGGTGTTGCGGTTTGGGTATGTTGGTGGTACTGAGGGTGGGGGTATGTGAGTGGTGCCGAGGGTTGGGGTATGTCGGTGGTGCCGAGGGTTGGGGTATGTGAGTGGTGCCGAGGGTGGGGTATGTGAGTGGTGCCGAGGGTGGGGAATGTGGGTTGTACTGGGGGTGGGGGTATGTGGATGGTGTTCAGGGTGGGGTATGTGGGTGGTGCCGAGGGTGGGGTATGTGGATGGTGTTGCGGTTGGGGTATGTTGGTGGTACAGAGGGTGGGGGTATGTGAGTGGTGCCGAGGGTTTGGGTATGTGAGTGGTGCCGAGGGTGGGGAATGTGGGTTGTACTGAGGGTGGGGGTATGTGTGTGGTGCCGAGGGTGGGAAATGTGGGTTGTACCGAGGGTGGGGGTATGTGGATGCTGTTGAGGGTGGGGGTATGTGGGGTGGTACTGAGGGTGGGGTTATGTTGGTGGTACTGAGGCTTGGGGTATGTGAGTGGTGCCGAGGGTTGGGGTATGTCGGTGGTGCTGGGGGTTGGGTGTACCTGTCTTGTACATATATCATGAAAGGATGAATTGAAGGCAATTTCGATTGTACCGACATACCTGTTAATGTTATGTTAAAACATACATGTACTCATGTTTTGCAACGTGTTCCTGCTTTTAGAGCGAGGCAGGAAGTATTTGTTAAAAAAGATTATATGTTCCAGAAAATACTGCTGGAAATGCTGAATGTTTGGAAAAAAAAGCTTATTGTAAAAAGAGAAATTATTCGGCAACGTCTGTCAGAAAAAAATCAACATCATGTGTGTATTGAAACAGTAACCGAAACAATCTTATGACTTAAAGAAAACTCTTATGCATTGGCTCCCACTCCCATCCCAGAATACTAAATGGTTGGCCGTATCCTTAAAGAGAAGGAGACGGCCTGTGGTGCTGGGTGTTAAATACCTGCACATGACGACTATAATACTCGCGTGGCCGTAACAGAATTGACATGAGACATTGTTCGTCCTACATGACTGTCGGCGATAATATTCTTGGCATTTTGCACGACCTGGTTTAAAAGCTAATGACACCCCACCTATGAATTAACATTTAACTTCTATGACGCTTAAAACGCGGGAATCTTTCAGAAAAGTCAAAGCACTCCACCAACGCACACTTCATTGAAGAGTTTTCTGAAAGATTAAATCACTTCTACCCGGGGTTGAAAAAACGATCCTCCGTCAATAAAGCAACTGACCGAAAACTAATTTATCCCATTAACATTTATGCGACTCACATATATCTTCAGTCACACGGGTTAAACGATGCGTGACAATTGAAAGTGCTCCCTAGGGCATGCACGGACAATATTTATCGCAGTGATGTCATCAAAACTCATGAAATTGAAACCGTCCACCTACACTGTAGGGTTCCACTGCGCATGTGTTAATATTACCCCACTAGGGGTCGCTGAGTGCGCATTCCGATCTGGCATAGATGACACGAGGTCATGAGGTCACAGTCTAGTTATGGCTACACGAAGAAGTGAGCAGTTTGTGTTAAAAGGCACAAAGAGAGTGATGTGCTTCAAGTGTCAGTGTATGAATCATTTGTTGCACGTTTTCGCGTGGTAAATATTAGTCAGTAAATAGTTTTGTATGACTGACATCCGAGATTGATTGATTGATTGATTGATTGATTGATTGATTGATTGATCTTTGACTTTTCATTTGTACGATCAGATGTCAAAATAACTGACCTGGCATTTTGTGAAAAGAACATACCCATGGACACTGATGTAATGGGTAGAGTGAGTGAGTGAGTTTGGTTTAACGCCGCTTTTAACAGTATTCCAGTTATATCGCGGCGAGTCAGCTTAATGTTGGAGGAAAGCCCGAAGTGGTGTAGGTCTCAGACGTTTACCACTTCGGTGAAACACACGAGCACGGGTATTGTGCTGACAAACCTAGAAACATAATCGGGGCTTACCGGTGATTCGAACCCACAATCACAGGTTTCTGGCGTGCCTAAGGGACGCAACTCTGCACAGGGAATCGCGGGGCCTTAGACGGCTGGGCCACCTGTGCCCCCTAATGGGTAGTAGTCAGTCATTACGCCTACCGGACGAATTAAGTGACCGACTTCGGGTGTTTCCGGGTTAGAATTGGTCCCCAGCAACCTAATAGATCGGGTTGTCATGCTCCGCCGCCATATAGCTGGAACATTTGTTAGTACGGCGTTAAACCAGAAACAAACAATCAAACAAATAAACAAACAAACGAAGAACCAGGCGTAGTGGTACTTGACGTTGACGCAAGGGCACATACATGTATGGCTAAATAAGGCCTTTGGCTATAGTAGTCGGCGGTATTGTCTCTGGAGGTAGCTGTCGGCGGTATTGTCTCTGGTGCATGGTTGTAGTCGGCAGTATTGTCTCTGGAGGTAGCTGTCGGCGGTATTGTCTCTGGAGGTAGCTGTCGGCGGTATTGTCTCTGGTGCATGGTAGTAGTCGGCAGTATTGTCTCTGGAGGTAGCAGTCGGCGGTATTGTCTCTGGAGGTAGCTGTCGGCAGTATTGTCTCTGGAGGTAGCAGTCGGCGGTATTGTCTCTGGAGGTAGCTGTCGGCGGTATTGTCTCTGGAGGTAGCTGTCGGCGGTATTGTCTCTGGAGGTAGCTGTCGGCGGTATTGTCCCTGGAGGTAGCTGTCGGCGGTATTGTCTCTGGTGCATGGTTGTAGTCGGCAGTATTGTCTCTCGAGGTTGTAGTCGGCAGTATTGTCTCTGGAGGTAGCTGTCGGCGGTATTGTCTCTGGTGCATGGTTGTAGTCGGCAGTATTGTCTCTCGAGGTTGTAGTCGGCAGTATTGTCTCTCGAGGTAGCCATCGGCGGTATTGTCTCTGGTGCATGGTTGTAGTCGGCAGTATTGTCTCTCGAGGTTGTAGTCGGCAGTATTGTCTCTGGAGGTAGCTGTCGGCGGTATTGTCTCTGGTGCATGGTTGTAGTCGGCAGTATTGTCTCTCGAGGTTGTAGTCGGCAGTATTGTCTCTGGAGGTAGCTGTCGGCGGTATTGTCTCTGGTGCATGGTTGTAGTCGGCAGTATTGTCTCTCGAGGTTGTAGTCGGCAGTATTGTCCCTCGACGTAGTAGTCGGCGGTATTGTCTCTCGAGGTAGTAGTCGGCGGTATTGTCTCTCGAGGTTGTAGTCGGCGGTATTGCCTCTCGACGTAGTAGTCGGCAGTATTGTCTCTCGAGGTTGTAGTCGGCAGTATTGTCTCTCGAGGTTGTAGTCGGCGGTATTGTCTCTCGAGGTTGTAGTCGGCAGTATTGTCTCTCGACGTAGTAGTCGGCAGTATTGTCTCT